CTCTTAGAGATAAAGTGTGGTGACAAAGGGAGGAGAACATGGCCATTTGCTCATTGGTTCCTTTTTAGTACTGGGGATTGAATCTGGAACTTCATCAGGCAGACAGGCGCTCTACTAGTGGAAGTCCATCTGCAGCAAGCACGCATGCATGCCTGTATTTATTCTTCCATCCATTCATTCACTCAGCCATCCATCCATCTTTCCATTCATTTATTTCAGGATCTCACTAAGTCGCCTCATACTTGCGACCTCTTGCCTCTGGCTTCTGAGCAGCCAGAAGATTATAGGACTGTGTCACCACAACCAGCCAGGATATATTGCCTTATGCCACCCTTCTGCTGGCTCTGACAACCCTTCATGTGTGCAGATATGCTTGGCGGTGGCACCTGTCTCAAAGGCAGGTCCAAAGGTCAGCCCACAGGAGATGCCAGGCCCACCCACAGGATGAGTGACTTCTGAGTTAGAAGGGCACAGAAGGCCCAGCATCAGCCTTTCTGCTTAGGAAACAGAACTGGCAACTGGCTTGCTTTGCACTCCTGGTCAAAAGGAGGAAAATGACAATAGTAGCTGCCATGGTACACAGTTACACTGAGGAGAAAATGGGTTTGTGGTAGGAGACTTGCAGTGGGGAGAATCTCCTATGGATTTCCTCACATGGAGACCTGAGAACTCCCCTCAGAATGGGAACAGCCACCAGGAAGAGAGCTGTGGTGTGACCTGGTATAGTGTTGTTTCCTAGAACTTTGAAACCAAAGACTCCAGATGTATTGGGAAGATCCAGGGTCCTGCTCAGCCCAGACTCATCTCCTAGAACCAGGCCAGTGGGAAAGTTATTGAGGTCTGTATGGCAAGAGGAAAAGGAAATTCTCGAGGTCAGCAGCGACTCGTTCAGCCCAAGAGCAAACCCACCACTCTGCTTCCAACTTGATGCCTGGAACTAGTCACCAAGCCTCACTCCAGCACAGGAGACAAGGAAGTCCCAGAGTGCCTGAAATCGCAGAAACAGTCCCAAGGACTGTCACACCACCTACCTCCTGTGACCATAGGCCTCATCTAGAAAATGGAAGAAAAAAGACTCCTCTCTACCTTGTACAGCTTCTGTGAGAGGGTTACACGTGCAAGCACAGGGCTTGCCTCTTGGCTCACTGGGAAGAGGATTCTTCATGCAGTCTCTAAGTTCAGAGTTTGAGATCCTACCACCTGCACTGGGCCTAGAGCAAAGGACAACCTGGCAAGGACGTGAAAGTGAGCCCGCCAGGAAGAACAGCTGTCTGTTTGGACTGTGATGCCCACTGACCTGACAATGCCAAGGCCCTTGGAGCAGAATTAGCAGGAGGACTTGGGGCCATGGCCAGTGGGGAGGTGGCAAGAGGCCGAGGAGATGGGGGCAGGGCAGCCATGGCACACAGCGCTGCTGTCGGGGAGCCAGGCTGCGAAGGGAAGGCGAGGGGAAGCAGCGTGTCGTGGGTGGGTAAGTTCCTAAAGGAGAAAAGCCAGCCTGAGCACCAGGGCTTTTGGACAAAACTTACCAGGATGCATTTCATGTCAGGGTGGGGTGGTTGCTAATGGATCACCCAATGGAAGACCAAGAATCCCCAGAGCCACATCTCCAGTCTTGTGTGAAACCCCAAATTTGTACAAACAGCATCTCCTTGGAGTCCCCCACCTGGGGCTCCGGAGAGGTGGCATCCACAGCCTGTTTGACTTTCTCACCTCCTCTTGACTTGCTCAGCACGGAGTCCCAGCAACTTGTGGGGCGTCTTTGAACCCAAGCCATGGCATCCTGGCCCAGCCACACTGAAAGGCCCTTTCAAGCAAAACACTGAGCCGATGTCTGCACACAGCAGCTTCTGTTCTTTGGGGCTGAATGGGCTCCAGGCCAGCCCCAACATTGCTAGTTGTGTGACCCTGGACAAGTTGCTTTACTTCTCTGGGCACATGGGCAGGGGAGGGTGTTAGGAAAGTTGCCCAGGAGTGCAAAGTGGAAAGACCTGCCATCCAGGCTGCAGCAGTGCAGGCTGCAGAGGCTGGGGACATGCCAGGAAGAAAGCCCTAGCCACCCTTGGGCTTCCTCAAGGGGTGGGCTTCTCAGGTGAGACACCTGCTATCCTTGTCAGGTTGTGAGTGGTAAAGCATATCCAAGGAGCAAGCATGTGCCATGTGGGGAGATCCAATGCTCGACCCACCCTAGGGTAACATGGCTCATGGAAAAGTGGCATTTTTGCATGCTTTGTAAGGCCTGGTTTCCCCCTCAAATGTGTCCACACCACAGTCCCAGGTGACCTGCAGCAAGTACTCTGGAACTGGTTGGTTGTCTTACACCATGACCCTGACAGTAGAGCAGCAAAATAGGAGCATAGCACCCATCACCTTGGGTGCTTTTTCAATGAAAATAAACTCTATTAAAATAACAGCATAAGAATTGTTTAACTTATCAGATTATTAATTGTAAGCATTTTAAGTCTGGATACCATATAAAGAAATCCAGATACCCGAGTATGACTGGTACTTTTGTTCCATTTAAACTTCATGATTATTAATAACTGCACTCAACTTTAGCTGTCATTAGCCCCAGGACAGTCTGCTCCTTTCAAAGCCCACAGGCCCTGCCTGGACATAGCCTCCATCCAGGCCTTCGTGGCTTTGACATGGAAAATCTTTACAGTTCTTTTCTCTGCTGCCTACAGCCAGCTAGCCTGGCTGGCATTGTGCTTTCTTCCTGAGCTCAAATCCCTGGAACTTTCCTTCCATGGGGCTGCTGTAGAATTCCTTAGTGCCCCTCTGCTTCCAGAACTGTCTGTCCATCTCTCCTGACTTGTCAGAACTGGCAACAGCTGGCTGTGTTGCTGTTTCCCCCCTTGTCAGAAAACAGTGCCTTCACAGCCTCGGCATCCTATTTCTTGCTCCTTCAGGTTCAGCGATAACACTGGAGCTTTTGTAGACTAAAGATCATCTCTTATCTAGTTGCAGTTGCTAACTGAGCTGCTGAAGGTAAGTGGGGTTCCCCCTTATTTATATTAAAAGGTGGGCCGAGACTTGTTTCATACAATTTCACACACTTCCTCCCAACTCCATGCCAGCAATAAAAGGCATTGACCTCTTTCCAGAAATGACTTGCTGTCCTGCTGAGCATGCTAAGCCAATGAGTTGATCCATCCCATACTGTATTCCTCACTGGCTCTGTTCTTCCTTTCACTCCCCATTTTTCTTGGCACATTTCTTCTATGTCTTTATTTAGTCTTAAAAGTGAGAGCACAGACAGTTGTCTGTTCAACGAAATCTGAGAGCTGGGGTATGGCCACTTCAAGTGAGCATCCCCATGCCAGGCACTGTCCTCAGGAGGCACAGGGACTGGGAGAGGACCTGGTAAGTGTGAGCTGCCCTGACAGCTTCTCAGACAGCCAGGCAGGCCCCGTAGACTTTGGACTCACTGGCCCTAGGATTCCTGATGAGGTTTACTTGGCTTCCTTGTGCCATGGCGTTATAGGTTTTTGAATGAGCTAGTGCTTAGCAGTGAGGTGGCTCATCTCCAAAATAATTCAAGTTGGATAGACCTCGATGCCTTGTCTTGTCAGCTAGAATGGGAGACCCTGAGAGCGCTGGCTCCTGCTGTGATCTGGTTCTTATCAGCAGTGTTTCCTGCAGGCTGTGGGCCTAGGGCTGCACCTGTTCACACAGGGTCTGGCTATGATAGAGCTCCAAAGGACACAGCACTCGCAGGCATAGACAACTTTATGGACAGAAAAGCCACACCATGAAAGTCCTTGAGAACTAGAGCCTTGACCTAAAATGATCACAGCTGAGAATCAAGCTGCCATATGTATTATGAAACTCCTAGCCTCAGTCTCAGGGGGCCCTAAGTCCTGCCAACAGTCCCACTCACCTTGGAGATTGCAGAAAGGCTTGCTTTCCCTTGGCCTTAGCAACCAAGACCTGCCCTGTTCCCACCCACCCACCATCAGTCATAGTCATTGAGCAGGAACTCCTGAGATTGACTGGGACCCCCTTAGCCCCTGGATATGCTCTCAGTGCCTGGCTCCTTGTCCTCACAGCTAGGTCCCCAAGGAGACTGGGCCACCAGTGTCATCCCAAGAAGCAGCTGATCTCCAGCCAGCTTGTTGCGTGGCAAGGGAAGGCTTACATGGCCTTCCAAGGAAGGGCAGCCAGTGGAATCCGCCGCACTCAAGGTCCAGACCAGGCCTGTGGCTGAGCCTGGTCTCAGAAACAGCTGGGTGCAGAAATGATCATTTCCTGGTGCCCATCAGTTCCACTTTGTGTGGCAACACAATGCGTTCCTAATGGCCAGAGTGTTTGTTTAATACAGAAATCACAACCATTTGGAGATTTAAATATAGCCTCTCCGAAACCCAGCGAGCTCAGCTCCTGGTGGCTGCGTGGTGCTGGCACTAGCCCAGTCTGCGCACTGCATGAGCCTTCAGCAATGGCTTGGAAGAAAGCCTTTCGCAAGATCTCTAGGGTTTCACCAACCCTGTTGTATTTCCTTGTTAGTCTCTACTTAGCTTTAAGAAACAAGTTATGTAAAAATCAAGAAAAAAAAAAAAAAAGATTTCCAGGTTCAGAATCAGTTGGGGAAAAGTAAAGGTTGCTTTTTCCCTGATGCTGCGTATCAGGCAAGTGGGAAGAAACCCCCTTCTGTTCCCTGTACCTTAAGATCCTTGCTAGATTGGGAGCTCCAGAGAAAAGCAGGATCTATTTCAGAAGCAGCAACTGGAAGACATACCATCCCATGTGAGAGCCTTTTTGCTCAAACTAGCATTCCTGGGCCAGCAAGTGCCAGGACTCTCCCAGTCAAGCTGCCCTTTTCCTCCCTTTTTTGGGTAGTTAAGACTCCGTTTGCTGGGGAGTTATGCTAAGGCAAGAGGCCGTATTCCGCGAGTTGCTGGAAGACTTTGCCATCCAGACTCCCCACATGCCCACCACTCGTGGCTCAGGCCACCAAGAAAGACGGGAGACAGAACAGTATACAAGAGTTTATTTAATGATAATCTGAATTTAGTTCTATCATGTGGGGCCCACATTACAAGTTCCATCTGGGTCCATTACAACTCTAACAGAAAAAACCTTAAAAAAAATCCACAACTTTTTCCATGTCATTAAATATATTCATATATAATAACCATAATATATTAGTATGCATTGGAATGGAACACTGACCCAAACAATATGTCATGGTCACAACTAAACATTTACAATTCTGAGAGAACAGAAATCCGCAACACAAGAGGGGGCTGGGGAAGGGAGGGGAAGAGGGGGAGGGTGAGAGGGGCTGTCCATCGACACGAGGGGATCTGGCTTGGGTTTGGGCAGGGCCCCACAAGGACAATTTTGGTACCTACCCCTGGGGTATGGTGAGGCTGTGGTCCGCAGGAATGTCTGTCCTGAACCATGGCACATTATAGAGAGTCTAGTTTGCCCACTTTCTAGGCTTGGGGGATGGAGGGGGTCCTTCAAGTACTGAGACCCCAAAGGAACTATTTCCCAGTACCTAAGGGTCTCTTCTGATTTCTGTCTCATTCCAACCTGAGGCAACTCCAACCAAGTCTGTGCCCCTGTTACTACTGGGGCGGTTCCAAAAGGCCCCTAAGACCTTGGGCAGCTCCCAGCCTCTCCGGGCTTTGACCCCACACAGGTGTCCCCTCCTGTCTGAGGGAACTTGTGCTCACTGCCTCCCCACTGCTTTCCAATACAGAAGCTGTGCACAGAGCCACAGCCTGCAGGTGCTTCAGGTGGGCCAACCTCTTCCCTATCCCTCCACTTCATACCTTTTGAGTTTCTGTGTATCAGTAAGCAGGCACTCGGCTGTCAGGAGCACCAGGCCACCCAACCCAGCTGGTAAAAAAAAAAAGGGGGGGGGGAGAGGCCCTGGGGAATTTTTTAAAAACCAAAAAAAAAGACTAAATCTGGTCCTCAAAAACCTACATATCACAGTTCTGGTTAATACACTCTTCAAAATCAAAATCTAGTTCCGTTTTACATCCCTTCTACCTGTACAAGCTGCAACTGCGACGCCTTGATTCTGATTTCCATCTCCTCCCTGGAGTGGGAGCCGGGTGGAGAGGGGGTGGCTTTGCTGAGGCTGGGTCCTTAACGTGGAGGGCAGGGGCGGGAAGCAGGGCCGTGGGCCGGTTCCGGAGGCTCATCACAGGGAAAGCAGCCTAGGATGAGCTATGCAACCCCAGCAGTGACCTCATCCCTGACCTCGCTGATCTGGCCACCCTGCCATAGTCCCCCCCAGGGTCAGAACACTGGGTGAGTGGCCTGTGCCACCCAGGAAAGGGGCAGCTGGGCCAGAAGGTGGGGTTGGAGGCCAGTTTGGTCTTCAGTGAGACACCCTGTGGCTGGGCAGACCCTGATTCCACTGCTGAGAGGCTCTCACTGCACACAGGGTAAGACCCACCTCCAGAGAGCTGCTTTAGCAGCTAATGGTGTTAGCAGATCACGCTAGGCCCAGGGCCTGGCGAGAGGCCCTTGCCCTCCAGCTTTAGGTTTCAGGGAGCCAAATGCCCCTGCCTAGGGCAGTTGTCTTTCCTCTGCCCCTGAGGCATCTCTGCCAGTCTCCTAGATTCCCTCCAGCCTTATGCCACATACCCAGAGCAGCCAGACCACCTATGATGAGGGCTGAAGAACTGAGGTCTACCGTCCTGGAACCTGGGGTTTCCCAGGACTACCCGCAGATAAAGCTGTGTCCTACCCTGCTCCATCCAGCACTCTGGCTGGCCACTCTGGAAATATCGCACTTGTCCCTACCCTCTCCCAGGCTCCTGTCTCTAGGCTGGATCCAAGGTCCTTGGGAGGCCAGTGCCTGGTCTGGGCGGCAGTTCATGACATCCTTCACAGCCTGCTGTGGGGCTTGAGGGCAGGTGATAGCTAGAGTGGGTTCTGGGATCCGAGTCCCAGAGCTGCATGCTTGCAGCACGACCCTGGGCAAGTGCATGCCAGTTCCCTCCCCGGCAGCAAACAGATGGGACTCCTTGTCCCACGAGGTTCTGACAGGATAGGAATATGGAGGTAAAGTGCCTGGCACAGAGCAGGTGCTAGTTAAATGGCAGTTAAACAGCGACACGGGCAGAAGTGAGGGAAGCAGAGGGAATCCCAGTCGCCAAAAGGCCAAGCTTCATTCTTGGTATACCGGCTCTTTGGAGCAGCCAAGCTCTGGCATGGAAAATGAAACCAATTTCCTGCCTGAGAGAGAGCCAAGCTTCTCATCCCATGTGCCGGGTGTGAGGATGGAGTCAGAGGCCCAGCACAGTGCACAGCTTGGGAGGGCAGGGAGGCGAGAGGCTCCAGAGCACAGAAATAGGCCCTGCAAGACAACTAGACTCAAAGGCTGGGGCCTGCTTGCGTGGAAACAGTCTCTATGGATTTGGGAAGGGGTTGGGCATCCTGGAAAGTATGGGGGATCCACAAAGAGGATGGCCTGGAAGGAGTGCTCAAGGTGCTACCCAGGCTAGACCACAACAGCCCTCAGGGTGGCTGCAGCAGGCTTTTTAGCCCAATACGCTTGTCTGTTGCCTTGGAAGTGAACAGTGAGGGGAGCAACATAAAGTGGTCAAGGCTTCCATGGCTCCCAGGAGTGTGGCCTTTCCTGGCCCTGTCTGCCTGTGGCATGGGCACCCAGGCACCTAGCTGAGCCAGCAAGCCCTACCCTGACTCCAGAAGGCCCCCTCCCCTGAGGCCAGCCCGCTGTGGCATACTCTGCCTGCCCATGCCCTTTCCAGCTGTTGACACTACTGAGGGCCTTGTGGGAGCTGATGTCATTACACAAATAGTGTCATTGCTGTAAACCCAGCCAGTGCCCCTTCCCCCTCCCCTGGAAAATGTCATAAAAGAGGCTGGTTCCAAGTTTCCAAAAAGGAAACACTCTGGGAGGTTTTGCCTTTGCAATGCCTCCTCCCACAGGCAGCTCCAGGGTGAGGCGGTGACCACCCGGCTTGGGCTTCTCAGGGGTGTCCTTGGGCCTGCTGCTTGACTGGCCAGAGTCCTGGACCAGCCCCCAGCCAGCTTGGGCCGCAGGAGCCTCGCCTCCTCACAGCGAAACCCCCGTTCCATACCCCACACCCCACCCAGGAGATCCAACCCAGCAGGTGGCCATGGAGACCAGAGGTCACATGAAGAATGCTGCAGGCCAGGCTACTTCCCTCCTCCCAGTGCCACCCCAGCCTCTTCAGATGGGGACCAGGATGTCACAGCCAGGAGTCCTGTGGGAATTCCTAGACAGCAAAGAGGGAAAAAGGAGGGGCCTTATCTCTTGGGTTGGGGTGGTTGGTCAGGCTTGCTCAGCACCCCTGCCCAGGCTGCGGGCCTAAAAATTCACAGTTCTCCTGTCCCCTTCTCCATACCCATCAACGACCTGCGTCTGCAGCCTGCCTGTGCCATTCTGTGCCTGCTCCCTGGCACCAGGGAATGCTGCCCCCCCCAGCCCCTCCACGGTGACCCAACCTAGCCCTAGGGAAGCGCATCTCTGCTCTGGAAGGAGCCCCGTGAGGTAGCTGCGTCTCGTCCTCATTTCTCCAGGACCTAGCCTGCTGTGCACCCTGCTTTGCGAGTGCCACTTGGCTAAGGGCACGCAGGGTGAGGCTGGGGGAGGGGCCGCCAAGGGCCCCGCCCCATGCCGGCTGCGGCCCCGCCCCCACCCTCCCCCCACCTGGGAAAGCCCTGTGGGCCAAGTCCACCTCGGCCTCCGCCTGCTTGCGCTCACCCGGCCGTGGCGCCCCGCTGCACCACGCTAGGCCTTCTTGCACTTGCCCTTTTTCTCCCTCTGCTGGAATTTGCGCAGCCGCCGTGCCCACGTGTCCCGCCACTGGATCACCAGGCTGCTCTTATCAGCCACAATGCCGCTCTGGTCGGGCGAGTCCTCAGCGTTGCCCAACAGCAGATACTTCTTGAGGGGCTTGATTTTGGGGCACTTGCAGGCGATATCACGGGAGCGGATCCACAGGCTCTGGTCACCACGGCGAATGCGGCTTGTGCCCTGCTTGTACACGGAGATGATGTTGACCGTGAACTTCCACCAGTCTCCTGCCTTGTCCGCCTTCAAGATATGGATCTGGACGGCTGCAAGGAAGCACAGGCCAGCAAGTGGGCCACGGGTGAGGAGCGAGGCCTGGGCTCCCAGCCCCTGGGGCCAGGTGGGCCCTACCTTGCTTCTCCTGAGAGACCCGGGAAAGGGAAAAGAGGACCAGAGGGAAGCAACTGCTGAAGGTGCCCCAAAGGCAGTAGACAAAGAAGAGCAAGGATGATTTGGAGCCACCCCGGCTGACACCTGGGCCAACGCCACTACAAGAAACCCTTACTTTGAAGGTGCTACCCAACATGCTTTTGGGAAGGAGTCATCTTTTGGATTGATTGATTGGTTGATTGATTGATTGACAGGGTCTCACTATGCAGAAGGGACTCCTAGTGATCCTCCTGTTTTCAGCCTCCCCAGAGCTGGGATTACAGGTGTGCTCCGTCATATCTGGTCTCAGTGACAGCGCAACCAGGGGGCAAGGCCTGCATAGCATGTGGTGCCAGGGATCGAACCCTGGTTCCTGTGCTTGCCAAGGCAGGTGCTTAGTCCACTGAGCTATCTCGCTGGCCCCATCTTTTGGCTTTTTAAAGATCCAGTATCTAGCAGGACCTAGGGAAACCTACAGAGACAGATCCCACCCCACCCCCCACGGTAGGTGCCAAGCCTGCCGTGGTGGCCATTTGACACAGACAGGAAAAGGGACCCTGCTTGATACCTGCACCACCGACAGCCCAGTCCCTGAACACCGGGTCTCACGATGCTCACTGCCCCACAGGCCTGCTCTTGACCCAGTCTCAAAACCATCACAGGCCGCATTACCCAGGTGGGAAGGCCAAGAACTTGCCTTCTGGGAGACCACAGTACCTGTTCTAGATTTCCAAGGCCTTGTACTTCCTGCCCCACCTGCCTGAGCCATCCCAGGCTGCCTCCCTCCCTCTGAAGCCCAGGTTCTCCAGGCCACGCCTCCTCCCAATTCCTTGCCAATACCTCCCTGGGGTGAGGGTGGGGGTCACAAACTGGAGCCTCCTTAATTCATGAGACCCCCCTGGAAGTTTCTGCAACACACTGGGGCCACCCCAGGGTTTCTGATATGGCATGACTACAGTGGCCCAGAGCACCTATTGCTCACGTACTCCCAGGTGCTAATGCCACTGGCCCAAAAGCCTTGGAAGGATACAGATACTGGTCCATAGTAACAGGCATTACTGTTTTTCTGCAGGACATTAAGGGATGTTGTAAAAACAGAAGGAAATGCTTAAAAAGGGGGTAGGTTCTTTGTTTAACCGGGTACTTCACAAACCTATTGGAACAAAGTCAAAGGTTTCCTTGCTGCAGTTCTCAGAACCTTGGATCTGTAAACCATCTGTGTGTTACTTTGGTTCCCCGAACAACCCTGACTGTAGGACTCACCCTCAGTGAGGTCACCAGAGCCTCACTGGGCCTACTCAGGAAACTGTTGGAACTTGAGGAACATCTTTCCCAATCCTGGGGGTACTTGAAAAAAGCCTCAGTGCACTCCCCTCCACTCACAGAAGGCAGCCATCATCATCCTGGGTCAGAAGGAGCCGCCTAACCCACCCCCCACAGCACCCCTCACCCCACTGAGCACAGTAGTGCCCTGTGGACCAGGCTGTGGGTGCCTGGTCACTGTGTGCACCTGAACCCTCCTGAGAAGCAGGAAGCAGCCTGAAGAGACAGACACAGGCAGGCTCAGTGGCTTCAGCAGCCATCACGCCTCCCCTCCCTCAGGGCCCTGGGCATAGGCTCAAGACAGCCAGACTGCGCTTCCACACTGTCAGGCTTTGCCCTCTCCCCACTGTGTGGTGCTGGGGAGGGAACCCAGGGCTTGCACATGTTAGGCAAGTGCTTTGCCATCCCCAGCCCTGTGGCTTCTCTCGAGGACTCTGACACCTTCACTCCCAGGGGACCACCTGCTCCACTCCTACACCCACATCGGCTCACGGTGACAGAAGGGGCAGGGACTCTGGGGCCCAGGGTACTCTGAACACTGTCAAACCATCCTCCTGGCAGAGGGAAGGAGCAGATTTTCCCATATTTTCATTTTAGCTGTTCCTGGGCATCCTGAACTTTGCACTCCAGTCTGAGGGCTCTAAAGAATGGCTGCCATGGCAACCGTTTCCATGTTTTTGTCACCAAGGGACTCAACACTCAGTGTGAACTCCGAGGGGTGGGGGCGGGGAGCCCTCCAGTCCAGAGAAGTGGCTGGGCTGTATGTGTATTGGACTGTGCAGATGGGGGTCACCGTGGCAACTGAGTGCCCCTGAGCTATGCAGTGGTGGGGCCACTCCAGCCTCCTGAGAGCCCCAGTTTCCTCTCCCCAGGACTGAGCTGAATACAGAATGGGCCTCCCTCAGGCCGCAGCCGCTCCCCTACATGGCACCTCAGACCTCTGGCCCAGCCAGTGTCCCCCTGGCCAGCAGGGGTGGGCCAGCCTCCCCAGGCTGCAGCAGAGCCACCACTGGCTTGGGCCCCTGGAAGATACAGCTCTGCTCTCAGCCCTGCGTGCTGATATGGGCTGAACCCCTCCAGCCCCACACCTCACATTCATGCATTGAGGCCCTATGCGTTCTTTAGAGTGACCATATTAAAGACAGGGTCTTTACAGAGGTAATTAAGATGAGGTCCTAAGAGCGGGCCCTAATCCAATACCACTGGTGGCCTCATGGAAAGAGATTAGGACACAGACACAGAGGGCGACCATGTGAGAACACAGAGAAGAACCCATCTATAAGCCAAAGAGTGAGGCCGCGCACGCAACGTTCACAAAATCAGGCCAGCTACCTCCTTACCTCAGACCTCTTCCCTCGTGAATGCCCTACAAAACCCACAGGATGCTTGGGGCAGCCCCTCCCTCCCTAGACACAGCCAGGGCAGGCCTTGAGGGAAGCTGCTTAATACTGAGGACCCCCAGGCACTTCCCGTCCTCCGGAATCCAGCGGAACACAGCGATGGACACTGGTCAGCTGGGACACAGCAACTGGCTTCCACGCCCAGCTGACTCCAGTGACTCCCGAGGTGAGACAGCTCAGGGCAGAGGAGGGTGTTGGGAGGATCCGTGTGATTATACTGGAAAACCTCCACATTTCCGCTGCCCTTGGCAACACCGCCATACATTACATAGCCCACCAAGTATGAGCTGCACACGCAGCACACATGCCAGGTTCCCGCAGTGCACACAGCTGAAAATATGCACGGTACACATTTCAGCAGTGACCTTGAACAGACCGGCTCCCCACTTGGGAAATGCGCTCTCTGGCAGCGAGTGGCACACCACAGGGCAGCTGCCACCTCTGACCAGGCTGCTGGCTCTGAGCAGGGAATGCTGAGGGTCCCGGGGTTACGTGGAACTCCAGGCCCCCACCAATCCACAAGTGCCCGTCACATCACCCTGCCAAGGGGACTGAGCACAATGAGCTGTAGGAAGCGCTGCCCATTCCTGGGACCACTAAGGCCCTGCTCATGAGTCAGCGTCCCTCCTGATGCCCTACATAGGACCCCAAGGCACGGTGTGGGAGGACTAAAAGGTGAGTGTCTGGGATGTGGCTGAGTCACACAGGAACCACCCACAAGCAGGAGCAGGGCCCTTGTGAGAGGCTCAAACGGGCCTTTGGCCTTGCCACTACATGAGGCCGTAGTAACAGGGTGGCACAGTGGAGGTGGCAATGAACCCACACCAAACACAGACCTGCAAGTGCCTCTATCTTGGACTTCCTATTCTTTGAAACCAAACAGTACATTTCCGTGGTTTACAAGTTACCCAAAAATATCTTGTTATAGCAGGCAGAATACACTGAGACAAAGCAGCTCAACCCAGGCCTCAGCCCTTCGGTTACCTAAACTCTCCCTACCCTTATGCCAGTGTCCCAAACATTGTCCTCCACAAGGCCAAAACCTGGGGCTCTGAGGAGAATCCACAACTGTATCCAGAAGGCCGGACCACAAAATCAGAACGAAGTGATGAGAGGTCCCTTAGCTTAGAGACTGCTAATCAAAAGGAAGAGGGTCCAAGCCTTGAGCCAGAGTGGCCCTTATCTGAAATACGCACAGGAGTCAAGGAGGCAGGTGCGGCAGGAGCCCTGCCAGCCGGTGCTTCCAGCCCACCCTGACAAGGGGCTCCATCTCAGGGACTACTTCTCAGCCCTTGCTCCAAAAATGAGGGCCCAGCCTGAGGGACTCCCACAAGTGATGGAGCGTACTTGTCCCTCAGGCTCTGTACCAGAGAATGTTCTTGGTATAAACAAAATCAGGACCCCATGGTGGTCCTGTCCTCTGCCCAGAGCCCCACCCAGGTCAGTCAGAACCAGTGTCCCACATGGTCCACCCTAGAAGCTGTGAGGCTGATAAACTGCAGGTCCTGGGAAAAGCATGGAATATGTGACAGCCTCCAGGAGGTGGCCTCCAAGATCCAGGGCCTAGAGCTAGATGCTATCCCTAGGCTCTGGAGCTGCCTCCTCACATGACTACAGTAAACTCCTGTACCAGCTGCAGAACCTCACAGGGCTCGACAGCTGCCCCAGGCCCAGCAATTCTGGAGTTCACAGAAGGACTGTCACACAAAGAATACTTCTAGGCCACCAGGACAGGGCAAGCTGCAAAGACTGATGTCCCTGGCCCCAACTCAAGCCTGCTGCTTTGGCAGAGGCCCTGCTGTAGGTCCCGGAGTAAGAAAGCCAAGGGCAGGGCCCACAGGAGCAGCTTTGTTAAGGGTGGCCTGCGCTGGTCTTGGCCAAGAGGCAGTAGGCAAGGAGGCAGTCTGAGTATCTTGGAAACATGGTCCACTTGGGCCTGCTGCTTGCTGTGCCAGTGCTACAATGTGAGGCACCAACGTGTCCTCCCAAAGGAGCAGGCATCTGCCACCCTTCCCGGCCACTCTTCCCAGGGGGGCGTCAACCTCCCAAGAGTCCCAGTACTGGGGGAAATTACCAAGTCTTCAGTGGCAACCTGAAAGGCAGATTATTCCTGGCTTGGACCCCATGGTGGTCCTGTCCTCTGCCCAGAGCCCCACCCAGGTCAGTCAGAACCA